TTTCTCTCTTCTCATATAACCTTACCCTAATTCAGTCCCTTGTCCAATGGCCTCTTAATTGGTCTCCCTGTAAACAATCTCTTTTCTCTCCAAAGAAGCTGCCAAAATGATGTTCCAGAAGCACAGTTCTGACCTCCCCTGCTCAATGACTTTTTTCTTGTGGCTGGACTTCAGTGACTTGAGAAGAGAGAGTGAGGCTGATGACTTTGCCCAGATCTGCCTCACTTCAATTCGGTTCACGGGCAAGTTGAGCCATTCCTCTTGAAAAATAAAGGAGGAGCCAGGAAACAGCAAACTAAAGACATTCCTCATCACCTCCAGGAGAAAATTTAAAGCCCTTCCGAATATAGCTCTGGACTACCTTCCAGGGTTTGTGGAACCTTTCTTCTCATACTTTCTATTCCAAATAACAGATCTGTTTGCTGTTCTTCCTGCACAACATTCCATCTCCTGTCATTGCCTTGGGGAGCCCTCATGCCTCTGCTGCTGCTAAGGATCCCTATCCCCTAGTTAGCTGCCAGTGTCTGCCTCCTTTCCAAGTTACTTTGTATCTTGTAAAAAATATTTATTTTATCAATATTATTTTGTACATGTTGTTTCCCCCAAATAGAATGTAAGCTCCTTGAGAGCAGGATCTCTCTGTCTCTCTGGTCTCTGTTTCTGTCTCTGTCTCTTTCTCTCCCTCTCTTGTCCTCCCTCCCCCCATCTATCTCTTCCTTCCTCTCTCTCTTGGTGTCTCTGTCTCTCTCCTTTCTCCTCTTCTCTCCCTCCCTCCCTCCCCCATCTCTTCCTCTTTCTCTCTCTCTCTCTCTCTCTCTCTCTCTCTCTCTCTCTCTCTCTCTCTCTCTCTCTCTCTCTCTCTCTCTCTCCCTCTCTCCCTCTCCTTATTTTGTGCCTAGCACATAGCTGAAACTTAGATGATTCTGAGCCCTCGAAAACAGGAAGTTTTAACCTTTAGTATGTCATGGATCTCTTTATCAGTCTAGTGAACATACACACCGTTCTCAGGAAAATGTCTGCAATGCCTATAATTAAGGAAATGCTGAATTTAAGTTGGAGGTTAGTGAAAATAATGACATATGTGTGTGTGTGTGTGTGTGTGTGTGTGTGTGTATACACACACACACACTTTTTTTTTTTAGTGAGGCAACTGAGGTCAAGAGACTTGCCCAGGGTCACACAGCTAGTGTCAGGTGTCTGGTCTGAGACAGGATTTGAGCTGAGGTCCTCCTGACTATGGTGTTGGTGCTCTATCCACTGCGCTATCTGGCTGCCCCTTATATGTATATTTTTTTCCATTCAAGTCTATAGACCCCCTAAAATCTGTCCACAGACCCCAGGCCTGTTCTATCTAGTTGATAATTTGAAAGAGCTTAAATGATCATTACTCTTACTTATACCTGTCCTCCCCAAACACACGCATTTTTATGGAATCAGTATCACTTTTAAAGCCAGGAAAGCATTCCAGAACACAAGAAATTCAATGAAATTCAGTAGAACAACAAAATTATTAGCAGGAATGTTCTAAAGCCAGCTCCACCCTGCTCAGGAGACCTGATTGTTAAAATTTTAGTGTGAGCATTTATACCTTGGAAATCTGCAAGCAGTGCAAATCAGAGCTTGTTTTATTGTTTCATTGATTAAGAAAGTGATAGGGGCAGGCAGCTAGGTGGCACAGTGGATAGAGTACTAGCCCTGGATTCAGGAGGACCTGAGTTCAAATCCAGCTTCAGATACGTAACACTTACTAGCTGTGTGACCCTGGGCAAGTCACTTAACCCCATTTCCTAGCCAAAAAAAAAAAGTGATGGAGAAAAATGTTCATTCAAAGTATACTTAAAAGTGTATTCTGCTTTCTTAGAGTGTTGTTAAACATTTACCAGCATACTCCTGAAATTTTGATTTAAGATCTATCTTGTCTAATCCCTTATTTTACAGATGAGGAATTGAGGCCAAGATAAGTTAAGTGACATGCTCAAAATCACACAGGTAGTAAGCGACAGAGATTGATTTTGAAGCCAGGCAATAATGCAGATTAAGCTTAAAAGTATGTTCTGTGTGATTCCCCGCCCCCCCCAGCTGTTTGTTAAACATTTATCAACATACCCTTGATTAAGGGTCACAGTATAGAGACCATTGTGTGACACATTTCGAGATGCAAGAATTTTTTAAGACACAGTCTTTGCCTTTGTGGAACTTACATTCTAGTAGAGAGCTCTAGTTCTAGATTCTAGAACATATTCAAAAAATAACTATGGTATGAAATAATATATAAGTGCATTATGAAAGTTCAAGCAGAGTTGTATATAGTCACAGGGGAGAAAGGCCCCCAGCAAAAGAGGGCATCAGAGAAGACTATTTAGACGGTACCTTTAAGTTGGGATCTAAAGGATGTTTGTAAAGTCAGTGGGCAAGAGGGAAGAAGGGGAACTAAAATGTTACTCTAATCCAGCAGAGTCATATTTTTGAAAAGGTGAGTTTTCTCCATGCCTCTCAGTTTATGCTATATGAGACGGCTTTCTGTCCTTTTCTAATGAGCTCTCTGGTTCAAAAGGAGTGATACTTTCTCCTGTGTGTTCTTCAAACCAAGGCATAATCACTCTTGGGAATCTGGAGGGATTGCTATGTTGGGGGATGCCCAAGTCCAGCTGTAAGGCTTTTCCCTTTTCCAGTAGTATATGAAAAGACCAAAGAGCCATTATGTTGTAAACTGAGGTCTTCATAGTGAGTTCTGCTCTCTGACATTTACTGAGCAGGAAGCGTCCACTTGCTGCTTTCTCAGACTGCAGCCTGAGACTTTGTTCTTGTTCTGAAGGGGCAAAGTAGAGCGGAAGGACCAGTAGACATTCGGTAGACTTACTGAGCTCATCAGTGGCTGGCTGAGTTGTCGATAAACATCAGACCAACCGTGTAATAGCCAATTAAAATCCTTCTTGGTTGACCTGATGCTTCTTGACAGCTCAACTAGACAGTGATGTCGGTTTAAAAACCAAAACAAAACTTGAGCGATTTGTTCCTACCACTAATTCCTGTGGGCCATAATTGTTCTTAGGGCTCCATTAGTAAAATTTCTCCATGTAGTGAGTATACCCTGGCTTATAGAGCCAGATGGCAGCACTCCCCCTTAGAGTTCTAGGGGTGCCCTAAGGGATTGTGGGGTGTCACTTCTGTAATATTGTTATTCGCTGAAGCCCTCATCTGTTGGCTTTTACCCACTCTTAGCCACCAGTGACTGATGAGCACCTTGATTCCATTTAACCAATTATCATCAATTAGCTTGTACAAAGGGATGTCTGCTTAGAAGACAGCGGTAACAAAAGAACAAACATTTTCTCCCAGTTCCTTGGGGAACACTACATTGCTTATGCCACCTCGGTCTCCAGGGACATTGGGCTCAGACTCAGGGTAGTTTTTGTATGACAGTGGTTCCATCAAGGAAGCCAGGTGGTACAGTGGATAAAGTGCTGGACCTGGACTCAAGAAGACCAGGGTGGAAATCTGGCTTCAGTCCCCCAACTGTAAAATGGAAATAACAACAGCACCTATCTCCCAGCTTGTTCTGAGGATCAAATGAAGTAATTTTGTAAAAGGCACTTAGCACAGTGTTTGGACAGAGTAGATGCTGTATAAATGCAAGTTATTGTTGTTGTTATTATTATTATTTTATGTCCATTTCCAGATGCTGGATGAATGCTGGATTAGTCCTCATTTCACTGCCACTGGACTGGGTGCTACAAGTCATTCCCAAGGTCACTCCTTGCTCTTTAGAACATTGATACTGGAATGACTGCAAAGCCTAAACTCAGACTCCTTGACTCTCAGAGTTTCTCTTTCCTGACTTTTTGAAGATCATAATGTCAAAGCCCCCAGATTAATTTTCTTCACACAAAATGAAAATAACAAATAATAAGGTGAAAGGTTTGAGGGCCATATTCAAGAGCTCACATGTTGGTCTAAAAGGGGAGAAGGCCCAAGGCCCTCTCTCCACCATCTTATAGCATTGACTCTTACCAGACACAGTCAACGAGGGCATCAAATCAAGAGAGAGCAGCTGAAGAGAATGCTCAATGCCTCTTGAAAGCCTCCAGTTCCAGTTCCATAACCACAGACAATCAAAAAGACTGCTAGTCATCATGTGGTTAGCAGATTGGAACTAGTTAGAGACCATCTGGGACAGCTAAGTGGTGCAGTGGATAGAGCATCAGACCTGGAATCAGGAAGACTCATCTTCATAAGTTCAAATCTGGCTTCAGACTCTTACTAGCTGTGTGATCCTGGGCAAGTAACTTAACCCTGTTTGCCTCAGTTTTCTCATCTGTCAAATGAGCTGGAGAAGGAAATGGCCACTTCAGTGTCTTTGCCAGGAAAACCCCAAATGGGGCCACCAAGAGTTGGACACAACTGCAAAATGACTGAACAGCAATCCTATTCTCCAGTCTCTCTTCAAGGCACTTCCTTTAGATATCATCATGACTTTCCTGGGTGCAGGTTCCCAGACTCTTCTCCATGGGGAATTGATGTCAGAGATATAATGCATGTGCCAGTCCCTTTTCCTCTCACATGACCCTACTTCCAAAGAATTTTTTGTGCTGGGAAACTGGTTTATTTTCATACATATTTGACTTGAAGTCCAAACTGATTTGGTAATGATCTCTTTGGCAGAATATGGAGATGTAAGGAATGTAGGATTATTTCAAGTTTCACAGCATGAGACATTAAGTACAAATAGAAACTAGCTAAGAAGAGGGAGTGATTGAGCCAAACAAGAGCTGACCTAGACTTTGGGCTCAATGGAAGAACTGACTCAAACTATTTTGGTGCTTTGAAAATAAATTCATTACCTCCTTTTTCCATTTCTTCTGGCAGGACAGTTGAATGGTTGTCATTATCAGTGTCTGTTGATTTTTACTGAGATTCCAAAATGTGTTAGATCCTTCCCTGAAGCAGTTGGAGACGTTGCTTTAAGGAACTTGTATTCTCCACTTATTATTATTTTAACTATTGTTCTTGGCATTGGCAACCCAGATGGGTCTTCATAATTTTTAAAGTGCTTGTATGCCTATTCTAAGTATTGTAATACTTTGCATGTAGTATATGGTACCTTGGAAAGAGTCAGAAATACAGTACATAGTCCCTCTGAGCTCTGGCTCCACAACTGGTAACATGGCTAAACGTACCAAGAAGGTTGAAATTGTTGGTAAATATGGAACATGTTATGGTGCATCCCTTAGAAGAATGGTGAAGAAAATTGAGATTAGCCAGCATGCCAAATATACCTGCTCTTTCTGTGGCAAGACCAAAATGAAGAGACAGGTTGTGGGTGCTGGGAATTATGGATCCTGTATAAAAACAGTAGCTAGTGGGGCATGGACCTACAATACCACCTCTGCCGTCACAGTCAAATCTGCCATCAGAAGACTGAAGGAATTGAAAAACCAGTAAAATCTTCTCATCAAATATCTCTAGCCCATAGTCAACAATAAATGGGTTAATTTATGGAATAAAAATCACTTTGGTTCTTTAAAAAAAGAAATAGAGTATATTGAACTTTGGATTTGGAGTCAGGAAAACAAAATTCAAGTCTCCTCTCTACCACTGTGTGATCGTGAACAAATCAGTTCCCCTCTCCTAGCTTCAGTCCCCGTGTCTCTAAAATGGGGATAATATCTGCCCCACTTACCTCACAGGGTGGCTCATAAGATCAAATGACTACCTATGTGAACATGTGTTGGAAATAATAAAGCATCAATGTAAAATGTTATTATTATTATCTTCCTTATTATTATTTGAGTCTTGCAACAGCCAATCTAGGGAGGTAGGACAGGTATTGTTGCCCCCAAATATAAGTTGAACTACTTAAAAGAAATCTTTATTAAAGGGAAAAAAGGTATACATTGAAAAATATCATCTATTATTAGCCACACTCAAATTATATGTCAGATTTGGAGGAAAAGTGAACATTATATTTAATGGCATTATTTTTTTTTATTCATTCATTTATTTAGTAGCATTTTATGAATGTTTTTTGGCCTAAAATATTTTAACTCCTTTTGGTTTTTTTTACATCACAGTCATTTTATACTTCTCCCTCCTGTATTTTGCTATAGCAAAGAAAAACAAGTAAGCAGAAGCATATAGTGCAATGACTCCATTTGGCAGCATACATCTAACTGTCCTCACCTGTCTGCTATGAGGCAAGATATGTTTCATTATCTGTTCTTCCAGGATGTCATTGCTTTTTTCAGTTACTCAGAATTCTGCTTTTTAGTGATCTTCTCGTACATTGTTGTGGTAATTGTTAATTCTGGATCAGTTCATGCAATTCTTCTCATATGTCTTTAAATTTTTCATATTTGTCATTTCTTATTGCAGTTAGGGTCCATTATATTCACATACTTAGAGATTTCCCCCTCCAATTGGTGGGGAGGGAGGGAGGGAGAGAATAAGCATTTATATAGCACTTACTACGTGCCAAGCACCTTTTTATTTTTACAAATGAGAAATTATCTTATTTGATCCCCACAACAATCCTATGAAATAGGTGTTATCATTACATTCGCAGCTAAGGAAACTGAGGCAGAGAGGTCACATGGCTTGCCCAGGCTTACACAATTACTGAGTGTTTGGGGCTGGTTTGAGCTCAGGTCTTCCTGACTGCATGCACAGCACTCTATCTACTGAGCCACCAGCTCTGTGAGGAAGCTGTTTCTCTTTTTTATTATTATTATTCATTTATTTTGATTTATCAACAATCACTTCCATAAGCTTTTGAGTTTTAAATTTTTCTCCCCCTCCCTCCCCAAGACAGTGCACAATCTGATATAGGCTTTACATATACATTCCTATTAAACATATTTTCACATTAGTCATATTGTAAGGAAGAATTAGAACCAATAGGAGAAACCACAAGAAAGAGGAAACAAAACAAAACAGAAGAAAAAAAAAGAGCAAATAACATGCTTTGATCTGCATTCAAACTCCATAGTTCTTTTTCTGGATGTGGATAGCATGTTCCATCATGAGACTTTTGGAGATGTCTTAGATCCTTGTATTACTGAAAAGGGCTAAGTCTATCAAAGTTAGTCATCGCACAAAGTGGCTGTTACTGTGTACAATGTTCTCCTGGTTCTGCTTACTTCACTCAGCATCAGACCATACAAATCTTTCCAGGTTTTTCTGAAGTCTGTCTGCTCATCGTTTTTTTTTTTGGGGGGGGTCTAAGCGATGAGGTTAAGTGACTTGCCCAGGGTCACACAGCTAGTAAGTGTTATGTGTCTGAGGCTGGATTTCAACTCAGGTCCTCCTGAATCCAGGGCCGGTGCTCTATCCACTGCGCCACCTAGCTGCCCCCTCATCATTTCTTACAGCACAATAGTTTTCCATTACATTTATATACCACAACTTGTTCAGCCATTCCCCAATTGATGGGCATCCCCTCATTTTCCAATCCTTTGCCACCATAGAAAGAGCTGCCGTAAATATTTTTTGTACATGTAGGTCCTTTCTCCATTTTTCTGATCTCTTTGGGATACATACCCAGAAGTGCTATTGCTGAGTCAAAGGGTATGAACCTTTTTTATAGCCCTTTGGGCATAGCGAGGAAGTTGTTTCTAACACTATTCTTTGATAGCACAGAAAGAGTTGTGATGAATATTTTGGTATCCAATCCCCTTCTGCTGTTTCTGGTGGGTACAGAATAGACTTGTATTATTCAGATTTCTTTTCCTTTGTATTTAAAGCTCTTTCTCCTGTTCACACGTAGAATTTGTTATTATTGGAATTGTTAAGTTCAACCACTGTGACCAATGCAACCAAAATTAAAGGAAAGCAGAAAACTGGAGAAAAAATTTTGAAACAGGTATCTTTGCAACAAGGCCTCATTTCTCAAATATATAGAGAACTGAGTCAAATTTGTAAAAATACATTCCCCAGTGGATAAATGGTCAAAAGATATGAACAGGAAGTTTTCAGACAAGAAATTAAAACTATAATCACATGAAAAAAATGCTTTAAATCACTATTGATTAAAGAAATGAAAATTAAAACAATTCTGAGGTACCACCTCACACCTATCAGATTGGCTAATATGACAAAAAAAGAAAATGATGGATATTGTAGAGGATGTAGGAAAACTGGGACACTAATGCACTGTTGGTGGAGTTGTGAACTGATCCAACCATTCTGTAGAACAATTTGGAACTATGTCCAAAAGGCTATAAAACTGTGATCCGGCAATCCCCTTTGATCCAGCAATACTACTGCTAATTCTATATCCACAAGACACCAAATGGGGGGGAAGAGGACTTATTTGTACAAACATATTTATAGCAGCTCTTTTTGTAGTGGCTAAGAATTGGACACTGAGAGGATGCTCATCAATGGGGGAATAGCTAAACTAGATGTGGTATGTGATTGTGATGGAATATTATTGTGCTGTAAGAAATGATTAGCAGAATGACTTCAGAAAAACCTAGAAAGATTTGTGTGAACTGATGCAAAGAAGTTAGCTGAACCAGTACAGAGTAACAGCAATATTGTATGATGAAGAACTGTGAATGACTATCTGAAAGGACTCCTGATGAAGCATGCTACCTCTAGAGAAACAACTGATACTGTCTGAATACAGACTGAAGCATGTTGTTTTTCTGTTTTCTTCCTTTCTTTCTTCCTTGAGTCTTCTTGTACAAAATGACTACTATGCAAATGTTTTACATGACTACATATGTATAACCTATTATATTGCCTACCATCTCGGGGTGGGGAGAGGAAGGGAGGGAAAGATAGAATTTGGAACTCAAGACTTAAAAAAAAATTTGTTTTGACATGTAATTGGGGGGAAATATTGTATCATAAAAATAAGATATATATATATATATATATATATAAACAATTAATAAATATATATAAAATTAAAAAATAAATTCAACCACTATGTATCTTAGCATTTGCAGCATGGTGTTTGCTGTATCTATTTGCTTTTTCCTGGAGGTGATCTATGGATGTCTTTGATTGGTACTTTGAAGTTCTGAGCAATTTTCTTGTATCATTTCTTGCATTATTATATTCATTTTTTGACTTGTCATGTTCACTTGGGTGGTCTATAATCCTTAAGCTGTCTCTTTGCATCCTGTCTTCAAAGTAAATGTTTTACTTGCATAGAGATCATGTTTTCTTTTAATGTTATTCTTTTTGGTTCTCTTCTTCCATATTGCTCTCTATTCTGCATATTGTATTCTTAATCAATCTTCCTCTATTTTGTTTCTTTGTGAGACTTATCAGAACCTTTCTGTTCTGGCCATTATTTCTGCTGTGGAAGTAATAAATTCTATTTTTAAAATTCTTGTTTCTCTTTAAACCATTCAGGAAGAGCCTGCTATTTCCATGATTTCTTGGGAATACACAATGTCCTCTGCCTCATCAGGTATTCATTCATTTTCTTTTGTCTTAAAATATTAATTCATAGATGTCTGTACTCTTTTGGGTGATCTGGAGGCCGTATTCCCTTTTGTTATTAATATCATTCCTGTTTATTTGCTTATGCTGAAGATTTTTAACTAATTTTTCTTCTTCTTGAAATCTTTGGTAATTTCAGCCTTTTTTGTCTTATATTTCGCTATCTCTCCCTTTCTCATTCATATCCCTTTAATAGCAGTTTCCCTCAGGGTTGCACCCTTACCTCAGCCTCATCCCATTTTGGGCAATTTATATTTCATAAGCATTAGCTGAAGTCCCAAATGACTTCTAGGTCTGGATCCAATTGGATCCTGGACTCTCTTTCAAGAACAGGGGACTGCTAGCCCTGCACACATATACTCACTTACACAAATACACATGTATGCTACCCAAGTTCCCTGTGTTCCTTGGTTCTCTGACTAAGCTCTCTTGCAGGACAGAATATTGCTATATTGCTGTCCCAGACAGGACAAGCTTCTGCTTTTTTATTTTCTTTGGCACTGGATGAGAGTAGGGGAGGTAGAGATGAGGTGTGTTTGGTTTTTTTTAACAAGCTGCACCAGCTTGTGCTGCCATACCTGACTATTATGGACAATGTGAGAAGGGATGCTGTGTGAGCACATTAGGTATTAGGGAATATGGCCTCCAGATCAGCCGAAAGAGTAGACAATATGCAGAATAGAGGGTAATATGGAAGAAGAGAACCAAAAGGATTCACTTAAGAGAAAACATGATCTCTATGCAAGTACAAGGCTCTCTACTCTTAGTTCATCAGATTATTACTTTGTTGGTGGTGGTGTCCTAGACTGTGGAGGCAGCTGAAATTGCTTCATCTTTTGTACATAATTACTATTTTGGAGAAGTTTGAGAGGTTGTAAAGATCAGAGAAAATGTCCAGTCTTCCATTTTTTTTTTAATCACATGACCCAGAATGCCAAATGTTTTGGTATCTATGAGACTTTTATTTCTGCCTTTGACCTCTTTATGAGTCTGTGCACTGTAGTGAGATCACTATTGGAAATGGACAATTTAATTACTTTTCTTGCATAATTTCAGATCGATAGATGTAATGTTTAGATCACTTGACACCACCACCAAAGGTATGTCAGTGTGCCTTGTCTTCCCTGGCCCCTCTAACTCTGATTGTTCTCATTCTTTGTCAATTTTCTACAAAGAGAACTTAAACCTCAGAATTGTGATAATTTTCACTTCTCTGGCTATTAGCA